CTCTGCTCCAAAGGGAGTTCCTATCTTCTCTAAAAGTTCAATACAGCTTTGATTTCTTACATGTTTCAAACTTTCTCTAATATCACGTCACTTTTCTCTTTGACAATGGGTGTATTGGTTAAACTACCACGTCGACACTATCTATGTCGTACGATCATTACACTGCCGACACATTACCACAGTCGGTACAAAGGAATTTGAGAACCATGCGAAACAATAGGAAATGGAACGCATAGTTGAATGGCGAAAATTCAAAGAAAAATTCAGATAAAAATAAATTAAAATCTCTAGTAGCCATTGCCCTGTTGCTTCGAAACCATACATTCTTTACAATCTTTACAAACAGCCCTTTTAAGTTAGTAACACAAAAAATCCAGAGTTCTTCAATGATTTAATGTTACTCTAGGGCTCCCTGAAATTGAACTGACCTAACATCAACTCTCTCAGCTTGCCGGCTCGGCTTCCACTTTTTAGTTTCTCCACTGGCAGTTACTGTCTGCTCAGACCTCATGAGCCCTTACTTCTTTCTCTACATGCATGTTGAAAAAGCGCAGGCACCTATACGGAATGATAACTACTCATTAGGCATTTACAAGTAATTGAAACGGTGCATTTGGTGGAGATTCCAATTATACCTCAAATAAGATCCACAGTTTGTGGGTAACTCTTTTTGAGATCCAATACTAGTATGATAAGTAAGCATTTGCCAGTACAAAACCTCTCATGAGTGCATGCTTTAAAAGCTCTCTATGCTCGTCCGACCTAGTGCGACTGAACTCTTTGCACTTGTTATAATAGTTGATCTGGGCACAGTGATATGAAATGACAATGGAAAAGGAAGTTCCTAATCAGATAACCTTGAAAACCCGAAACGGCAAGGTCTGTTAACAAATTAACCATGTGAAGTGTGTCAGAAACGAAAAGTGAGGGAGAGTATTCAAAAGGAATACAAGTGACAGTTCAGTAGTTAGTCTGCGCAAAACTTAGACTATTCATACATGCATAACAATGCAATTTGAAAAAAAAAACCACTTGCTCTCTCAAGACCGATGAACTACTATGAAAGTAGTCCGTGCCGTCGTTTCTGTATTATTTGAGCTCTTAATTCCAGAATAGAAACTTTACATTTGAACTTCGTTTCATA